TAGGGGAGCCACGTGATGCAGAGACAGCAGCCTCGAAGGGTGAAATCCCAGCAGCTTCCACACTGGTCTGCGTGAAAACACAGACCTCAAAGCCTGAGCATGGGCTTTTCCTCAGCACACCCTCTTTGGGAGGATATCCTGGAAGCATTAAGCGCTGTTTACCTGAATTTATTTTTTTAAAATGCCATCCTACGGTCTTCGAAGTTCTAGAAAAGAAATGAATCTCAACCTCCAATCAACACATATGGACCTCCTCCAGCTCACGTGGGTGCCGACTGTATTTCTCCATCAGTTCCACCTTCCTGGCAGCTCAGTCAACTTATAATGTGACACTGTGTGTATTTATGTGCTTCATGCTGTCTTGCTTCAGAATCCATCTCAGCATTGGGCACCACATGGTGGATGGAGAGGGCACCTTTCTCGCTCTGGGTTCTGATTCCCAGGAGCCTACCAGTGGGGGCGATGGAAGGAAGAAAGGGAGGGAGGCAGAGGGAGCCAGGCTCTGAGATGGGAACCAACTACCCTTGGTCTCAAGGTGATGCAAGGGGCCTGTCGTGGGCAGACCAGGTATCTCCAGGGCTTCTGGAGAGGGACTGCCTGACAGAGGTGCCTGTACAACCCTGGCAAGACAGGCACCATTCAAAAAGGCTTCCCTGATTGGCTGGGGATTCTCTGCAGCTGCTCCAGGATCTGGGTTAAAGGACAGTGCTGGCCAGAGCAGGGGCAGCAGGGCAGGCCCAGAGATGGCATATTCCCGGGTAGAAAGAGCAGACCTCTCCGCCCTGTTCCAAGCCCAGCATATGGCACCTGCAATTTCCCCAGAGCTGATTTCCCTGGAGTCACACCAGACACAGAATATCCTTCCCAACACCTCAATTGGGGCTGCAGGTCCCGTGTGAGCGAGAGATGGTGGCCAGGCACTCATGAGACTCCCATGGTTTGGTAAACGCCGGCAGAACTGCCTGAATAAACCCAGGGGGACACTGTCTATCAGCCATCCTGCAAAATGGGATCTGTCTGCTTTTACCCAGGATTTGTGACAAATGAACACATAAAGACAGTGGTCAGAACGAGCCACTTATTTAAGAGCTTCGACAGCCCAAAGTGGTCGCACAGAGATGCATGCAAGATTTATCTCGATGATAGAAGACCTGAAGTTGAAAGGCACATCAGTTAGAATTTTGCCATTTCTCCCTCTTTTAAAATTTCACAGTCAAGTACTTAAAATAATGAATGGGAAACACGCAAAGCTGCCTTCCTTGCACCCCGAGTCTGGTCAGTGTCTGCAGATAGTTCATGTCTGGGTGGGACAGTGCTCAGGCTCCAGCTGCAGCTCTGCCTGCACCCTCCTCCCTCCGCTCCTCCCGCGGAAAGAACTGGAGGGTCAGTAATGGCTGCCTCAGGGCTGAGCACCACACTTGATGTGCTGATAGGTGCTTAAAACCCACAGGACAACAGCGGATTGGATAGAGTAATGCCCTTTTGGTAGATACAAAAGCTCAGTTTTTGTGGTGTTTCTGGGTTTTTCTGCAAGGTCAGGCGGGCACTTTGATGGGACTCTGGAGCTGGGCTGTTCACTGCTCGCTGCTGAATGAAAACGCTAACATAGCAAGAGCAGCATTCAAGTGTTTTGGTGGGGAGGCACTCCAAGTGATGCTCAGGGTTTACTCCTGGCTCTGCTCAGGAACCATTCCTGGTGGTACTCAGGGGACCACAGGTGGCATCAGGTAGCATAACCTACCTACTATACCATGTCTCCAACTCTTACATCTTTTTTCCCTCCTTTCTTTTTATTTTATATTTTATTTTATTTTGCTTTTTGGGTCACACCTGACAATGCTCAGGGCTTACTCCTGGCTCTTCACTCAGGAATTACTCCTGGTGGTGCTCAGGGGACCATATGGGATGCTGGGAATCGAGCCCGGGTTGGCCGCGTGCAAGGCAAACTCCTTCCCCACTGGGCTATCACTCCAGCCTCTTCCCCTTTCTTTTTAAATGAAGGCACCATAACTTACAAGATTGAGTTCCAGGCATGTAACATTCCAACATCAGTTCCACCACCAGTGTCACCTTCCCTCCGCCAACGGTCTGTTTCCCTCCCACTCCCCAGTCTGTCTCTATGACAGGCAGGCTTTTAAAAATTATTTTACTTTCAGGCACTGTGTTTTGAAATACTGTTACTGACAGGGCTTTATGCATAACGCATTCCAGCTCCACAATCCCCGGCGTCACCTCCACTCCCAACGACCTTGGGTGTTTCTTTGAAGACCACTTCAACACTGGGTCTTGCAGTTCAATGTGCATTTATTCTGGATTTGCTGCTCTGGGATACAGGCTTCTCAGAACTAGACTCCACCCCTCCCAGACCCTAGCAGGACCAAATGTGATCATTTTACATGAACCCAAGTTTGCTGATCCCCAACTGAGCTGGACTTTTTCTCAACCTAAGTATCTTTTCAGAGATACCCTGACTCCCAGGGCCTCCTGCCAGTGTGGGGACCCAGAGCCCTTTATCACACAGAGAACACTCTTCCCAGCAAGGGCCAAGGCTTCCTGGCACAACCACTGCCCAGATAACCCCCGGTCCCTGCTATCATCCTGTGCAGAGCCTCAGAGCTGCCACTCGCCCTGCCTCCTTCTGCCTGCCTGGTTTCACCACTTTTGTTTGTCCGTTTTGTGTGAGGGCCATGCCAGGAGGTGCTCAGGGCATCACCTTGGCTCTGCACACAGTCTGGGGGACACTCCTGGCAAGACTTGGGAGACCATATATGGAGCTCTAGCCGAGGTGGGCCGTGTACAAGGCAGGTACCCAACCCACTGGACTGTCTTTCTGGTCCTGGTTTTGCCCATTCTTGCCCAGAATATGGCCCTAACAGCTATAGGAGCCGTGATGGCAGTAGTAACCTCTGACATGTCAGCGTTACAGAGAGACTGACCAGAGAGCATCTCCATGAATGCCAACATTCATTCATAACAGTTATTGCAGTAACAATGCTACATTAACCATGCTACCATTCATTCATTCATTCATTCATTCACCACAGGGCCGTAGCCCACCTGATATGGTGTTGAGCCTCCACAAACAAACCCAAAGAGCCCAGCCCAGCTCAGCCACAGACCTAGAGCTGGGAAGAGACAGATCTCAAGCGTGGCCAGGCTGCTCCAGCTCCAGTTTGCTTCCCCCCCAGGAGCTGCCCCTTCCTGGGGCAGGCACAGAGGGAGCGGTACAAGCTCCCCCACTCGCCCTATCTCTGCAGCACCCTTCCACTAACATCTGTCCTTGCATTTCTCACCACTGGCCACAAGCTATGCCAGGCTGCCCTCTCAATGGGGTCCCACCCCCACTCTCTGGGTCTCCCAGCTCTTTGCTGCAGAGCCAATCCCAAGTCTGTAACCACCGGGGGCACTGCACCAAAGAAGGAATTGGGAGTCACCATGGAAGTCAATAAAACATACTGAGTGGGGCCAAGGAGAGAGCTCAGGGACCAGGGGTGCTGCTCGGCACGCACAGGCTCTAGCTTGATCCCCAGACTGTGCCCCACCACGCACTGCTGGGTAGAGCCCCGAAGGCCCAAGGATGCCCAGGGTGGCCCCCAGCACCACTGGACCTGAGTAGGCTGCATCTTTGGACTGAGCATTGAATTGTCTGGCCTGGTGGGCTGAGTATCGCCAGGAATAGGCTCATAGGTCCCCTGAGTGTGTGTGTGTGTGTGTGTGTGTGTGTGTGTGTGTGTGTGTGTGTGTTTGTGTGTGTGTGTGTGTAGGGGAAATGCAAATAACTAAGACACAAAACAGCTGACAGCCCAAAGCCTGGTCCTAACTCCCTGGACTTTCAGATCTGAGGGGTCCTCAGTGTGTGTGGGGGGGGTGGGGGGGTCACATCTGCCATCCCTGGAGAGTGTCTGGATAAGTTTAGAGGGTGACGTTGCTGGTGAAAGGGGGATCTGATGCTTAGACTGCGACACTGATGTTCTGGGCGCCCGTGGCACTGGCACTTAGAGCAAAGCTTCTGAAACTGGGTCACATCGGCCCAAAACAGGGGGCTTCTCGGTGAGCCCCCTTCATCTGGGCTCCCGAATGCCCAGCCAGTGGACCTGGAACTGCTTGTTGGCTTCCCCTAAACTGGGAAGGCAGGGCCTATGCCCGTTTCTCTGGGAAATTTGCAAGCCAGAGGGAAGTGGGCGGCAGCTCAGCGCTTGGAGAACGAATGAGCCAAGCAGCCGTGAGCTGGGCGGTGGGCGGTGGGAGAGGTTCTGCTAGACCAGAACCCACCCCCCTCTCCCCCGCAGGCTGGAGGAGAGGGCGGTAAGTTTGCTGGGGGGGAGGGGGGCCAGGTGAGTTTGCTCAGAGGCTCCCCCTTAGTCCAGATCAACAGCTGACTCCAGAAAAATCTTCACTTTTCCTCCACTTATTGCTCACTGGCAATTTGACTGAGTACTGACACTCAAAGTGGCAACTGTAGGGGGGGGCTGGGGGGGACTGTCCCTTTTCACAGAGGAGGACGTTGAGGACCTTGCTCTCCCAGATGCTCTCACCGATTCTCTCCCAGAGAATCGTGCCTGCTGTCTGCCTGTGCGTGACCCACCCGGGGCTCCTAGCGAGTTTGAGCTGCTGCGGCTGGAACTCCGGGGTTAAATGCTCGCCCTGCACTTCGCAGCGCCACCTCCTCGAACACTTTTAACTTGGACGCCGGGCGCCTGTAGACTAGCTTGTGGGGCTCGTGCACATTTTGCCGTGTGCGCCCCGAGGAAAGTGGGGCGAGGGAGGCTCCGTGCTTCTTTGCCGGGTAAGCATTTGCCCGAGACTTTTCCTCTGCACCTGTTGCGCGCGCGCGGTGGGGTCCCTAACGCACGCCGCCGGGACCTCAGCGGCGCTCCAGGCCCTTGGAGGCGCTCTGGGCTCCTCGCGGCCGGCCTGGGCACCCAGCAGCCACCTGTTGCCCCGGGCACCCGGCTCTCAGCGGGCACCCGAGAGGGCACCGGCCCCCAGGTAGCGCTTACCTGCGCGTGGCGGGGCTCCGCGGAGGCAGACACTCGGCGAGCCGCGGGGGCACTGCGGGAACGCCGTACAGGCCGCGCCCGCACCAGCCGACCAGACTGGGTCGGTGCCAGGGCCCGGGACACCCGGCCTAGGGCGCCGGGACCGCGCGGGGACCGCAAGCCCCGCCCACTCGGAGGCGTGGCCGAAACTAGATCCGCCCCTAATGGGCGGGGCACGGAGAGCGCTCTTCAAAAGGGCGGTCCGGCTTGGGAGCCTCAAGCCCCGCCCCTTCCACTTAAGCCCCGCCCATTCCCACGCCCCCGTCAGCTTCCACCCGCCGCTCCGGAAGGCTTTTCACTTGACTCTTGACCGGTGCGCCGTTTTGCGCGAGCGGCGGGTGGGGGGAGGCCGTGTTTTGCTGTATTTCTTACTTCTGTATAATTTTACTTTCTTTTTAAAATGGTAGAATTTTTTAAAAGTACACCACGGCTCATCAGCACTTTGTGCAAAAATAATCTGCCTAGTAGATGCAACACTTTCCTTGCTCCGCACACACAGTTCTTCCCTTTAGTGCCAGTGGTCACCTCCGCGTCGCTAAAAAAAAAAACAAGCTTACATAGCGATTTCTTGATTTATCTATTGACTTTCTGCCATGTTAGATGAGGATTTACTCTCTTCCTGTGCCCCTGCGTCCCTTCTCGTGACAAATTTATACCTCTGTTCTCAAATCCTGCCCTGGTGAGCTCTGAGCTCTCAAACCAGGAGTGGATGAAGGTTTCTTGGGATCTGAGGCTTACACAGGGAGGGTGGGAAGAGGAAGAGAAAGGGCTGTTTCCAAAAGCTCTACAGAATTAAGGTTTGCAAAAGTGCATTCATTTAGGAAGTGAAAAGCAATCAACAAAATCCTGCATTAGAAATTCAGATCTTCAATGTACTCTCCTGAATCTGCCTCCCGAGGTCATCTGCCTTCCTCTCTCCATCCAGAAGTTCCCCAGCCCTCCCAAGGCCCGTGCCTTAAGGGAGCCTGAACATCGGGATCTTCAATTTCTGCCAATAGTAATTTCTAAGGCAGTGGATGGAAGTGTGTGAAACGGTATCAAGGTTTTGTGATGGCTGTGCTTCACCCGCAGTGGTTCTTGGTACTGGTGACAAGTTCTTAGGGTGCTGTGTGCAGTGTCTCATTGAGCTCTCTCCAGACTCCTGACCATCCTCAGATTTTATAGTGCTTACATGAGTCGATCCCCGCTAGCTCTCAGGAAGCCCTGTACTTGTTCCTCATGTGTAAGCATGAGTGAATCCAGGCAAGAAGCCGCCCATGCATGCTCTATCTGGCACCCTTCTCTCCCCTGAAATACAATTCATTCCCTTCCTCTCTGCCTTTCATCCCCTCTCCTCTGTTTTCCTTCCTTTGTCCAACTCCTGCAAAGGCCATGGAATATGCTCTTACAAGGTGACCTTGAGCAAAGTCACCTGACCTCTCCAGGCTTTTCTTCCCTTCTCTGAAATTGGAGGGAATAATTTCTGTCTGTCGGGGGAGGATTTGGTGGCTGTAGAGGAATAAGTGAGGGAGGATATCTTTGTGCAAAAGGATAATGATCTTTTAGGCGGAGCTTTATGTTTTTGATTTTTAAAACTTCATTTTAGAAAAATGAAATATTGGTCGGATGTATTGTTCTTTTAAAATTGCTTTTAGCTTTTCTTTAAAAAAAGACAGTTCATTTCAATTCTGAGATTAATTTTTAAAAAGTTTCCCCCCTCCCCCTCTTGCAGGAGAATTATCCTTGTCCGTTTCCTGTACTGATAATGCAGTTTGTTTTTGTGGTTTGTTTCATGAGAAAGGTCTGAGTCTCATTTGTATGTAGTGTGCTGGTGACTTGGGTTGGATTAAAATGGGGGGGGGGGGGGGTAAATCATTCTGAGCCCAGACCCTGACTCAAGAGAGTAGAGGCTGGCAACAGGAAGCTAAACCAGATGGGTCACTGGCTTTTCCCAGAGGCACTGGATAGCACAGTTAAGACTTGATCTAGGAAGAAGCCTGGCTTGTAGGGCACGAGCAGTGCCTCCTAGTGGTGGGAGGTGAGAATCTCATACACTAGCCAGGTCATCCTGCCTGGGTTGTCACCGTCATGGTCATGGTCCTCCCGTTGCTCATCGATTTGCTCTAGCGCGCCCAGTAACGTCTCCATCGTGAGACTTGTTGTTACTGTATTTGGCATATTAAATATATCCTGGGGAGCTTGCTAGGCTTTGCCATGTGGGCGAGATATCCATTTTCTGGGAACAATAATATATATTATATATATATATACATATATATGTATATGTATACATATATGAGTTTTGGGGACACACCAGGCAGTGCTCAGAGCTTACCCCTGGCTCTATACTCAGGAATCGCCCCTGGCGGGCTGGGGGACCATGGGAAGCTGGAGATACAACCTGGGTCAGCCAAGTGCAAAGCAAGCATCTAATCTGCTGTTCTATCACTTCAGCCCCAAGTCCCTAGTATTTTAAAAAGAGACTATTTCAACAGCTGTCTGTTCCTTTGCTTGACACAGACAGTTCCTTTCCTTTGCACAGACACAGGAGTCTGTGCCCACCGAGACTATGCGAATCACACATTTGGACCCTCCCTCATTGGTGAGCTTTATTTCTCCTGAAACCTGTCTATCGTTATGCTCATGACAGGTGATTAGAAGATACTGCCTCAGGAAGGAGGAAGAGTTAACTGAGAATGGTTCAGGGTGGGTTCTTCAGAAACACACCTCAAGGCATGATTTCAAGTGCCAGAGTGTTTGGGGGGTGTTCCCCCCCCCCCACCCGCCGCGAGCTGCAGAAGTACAGGGGCAGGTGAGAAGAAGGAATCAGGGAGGGAAAGGCAGGCAGGTAGTGGATGTATTTGTGAAAGAATTCCAATTGGCAACACAAGGACACAAGTGGAGACCCACACTCATGCAGTGTAAAGAACAAAACATAAGAACCAGGAAATGGATCTTCAGGAAATGCTTTCCAGAAAACAGAAATTAATCTCCTGATTTAGGAATATGCATCAAGAATCTTATTCCATACTCAATCCAATGAACTTCCTCCTGAAATCTTTATTCTCTTTGCATCCATACCCATAAATACCACCTACCGCACCCTCCATGGACTCATTAGTAGCTCGCTAAAGCATGCAGTTCCTGAGACTTGCCATTCCTTTGCTATTCCCAAATAAGCAAATTCTTGCTCATTTGAGCTCACTTCTATGTTTCCTTCTTATTTAGCTTGACAGATCCTTAAGATCCAACCATAATGGGTGATGGGAGCCCGACTTTTGGGAAAACTCTAGAAAGCAGCATAAAGAGCTTGTCTTTGAATCATCTCCCCCAAGGAAAGGCTTGGTGACAGGACTGGACTTTCTAAAAGGGAAAACTGAAACTACCCAGTTAGCTAGGTTTTGAACACTTTCACAAACTTTTCCTAGGCATAGAAATGTGATGACCAAAAGAGCTCAAACAACAACACTTTCCATTACCCATTGGTGTTCTGATGAGGTTTCCGGGGGAGCATCTGGGACAGTAGTTGGTGTGCAGACAGGGACAGTCACCAACCTAGGCCTACTGGTATGTCCTGGGGATGCCCTGGCTTTAGGACCCATTGTGAAAGGATAGGGCTGAGTTACTCTCTGCCTGTGGATCAAGCCCTAACCTGGACTCATGGAGGAAATTAAATTTCAGTGGAGTAAAAATAAAAGGTGAAAAAAGAAGGGAGTGGGCCAGAGAGACAGCACAGCGGTGAAGGTACTGCCTTGCACATGGCTGGGCTGGGCTCCACCCCTGGCACTGCCAGGAGTGATCCCTGAACTATGCCTGAACTAGGCCAACCCCCTTGGCCCCCTACAAATACATACAAGAGAAAAGAAAATGGAGACGATAGACTTTCACAATGATCAAATAGGCAGACATTTGAAATGGTGCAAGTACTTCAGAAGGGAATTTTTTTCTCAAGCAATGAGTAGATGAAGCCAAGAGAAATCTCTCCTAGCCGGTTGTTGACACAGCTTCCCTAGAAGGTCACCGTTTGGTTAACCTGTCCCCAACCACCACTCTGATTATTGGACTGAAGGAAGCTCCTTAAATCATGAAAATAGTTTCCAACATTACCCTCTCAGAAGCCCTCAGTGCCTTCAGCAACAAGTAGGCTAAAATCCTTGGTCCTTTCTAGAAGATTCTAAGGTCTTTTCAGGATGTGCAGACAACCACATTTGATCTCCTCCCCTCTGGCTCCTTGCCTTCTGTGTGAGCCTTCACCTGGGCTCTCTGTACCACAAAGTTCTCACATGACTAATCTCACTGATTACAACAACCCAGATCCCCTCACAATGTAACTTGGTGAATCCTCAGTCTTATCTGTCAGACTGACCTATTGAAAACTGAACTCCCCTACTCTTACATTAATCACTTCACTTAATCACTTAATCCCCGTTATTCATTGATTTATTCGAGCGGGTGCCAGTAACGTCTCCATTCATCCCGGTTGCGTGCTAGCATAGCCCAATGGTATCTGTTCGTTCTAGGAACATGCAGAGCCTCAAACCGACCATTTAGGGTCTTGACGAAGAAGTCTGACCATCTTGTAGACTTGTAGGTGGGCGTCCACGTGATCTTTTGATGTCCCGTGGAATCCAATCAGTAATGGCTCTAGTCCAGCGGTTGTCTGTAAACCTCATTACATGTCCAGCCCATCTGATTTTTGATGTCTTGGCAAATGAGACAGCGTCCCTGATTCTTGAGCGTTGACGAAGATCAGAACTCCAGATTCTATCTCTCATTTGAGTGAATCGTGATATTCCAAGCATAGTTCTTTCGATTCCTCTTTGAGAGACCCGAATAGCGTTCTCATCCCGTTTTCGTAGGGTCCAGGTCTCTGAGGCATATGTTAACGCAGGAAGAACAGTGGAATCAAAGAGATGTGCCCGGAGCCAGAGGTTCTTCGTCCTCTTAGCTATTTCTTTGACGTTCTTGAAGGCGTTCCAAGCCGCTCTCTTCCTCCTGTGCAGCTCGGGTGCCAGGTCATTTGTCATGTTGACCTCTCGACCTAGGTACACATAGCTGTTGCATTCGGAGATGGTCGTTCCATTGAGAGCGAATGGGGCGTCAGGAACAAGGCTGTTTCTCAT